TCGGGGACGCCGCCGAGGTGGTGGTGGTGGTGCACGACCCCGCTCTCCCGGGCAGGCCTCATTGGTGTGCCCAAGCACCATCCCTGCCCGCCGCCGCCGAGGGCGTGAGAATGGTGGTGGTCCTGCGGCCCCCGCTTGTCCGTGAAAAGCGCCTTGCCTTTCCTCTTGCCGCAGCTCCCGGGCGCGGTGCTACCGACATCGCCGCCGCTACCGCCCCCGCCGCCGGAGGCGGCCACTCCCACAACAACCCCTCCGTCTTCGCCGACGCCTCCGCCCGCCTGTATGTCCCCCGCGCCCCCCACCCGCACCGCCTTCCCTCCTCCCCTCTGGTTCGCGCGGCGATCGGGAGTCATGTGCTGCCAGATATCGCTGCGGCTCGAGCTCGCCGGCCCCGGCGTGTCGCCGCCGGCGAGCGGGAAGTCCAGGGTCCCCGCCCCGGGGGGGCTAAAGAGGCAGCTCGGGGAGAACTGGAAGTTCTTGAACGGCGACTGGAAGGGCGACTGGAGCTGCCCGCCCATCTCACCGGGCTGTCGGGACATGTTGAACAGCGACACCGGTGTCATCTCCGTGCCGCCGGCGCTGTTGCCCGCCGCTCCTCCGGCGGAGTTGTCCCCGCAAGCCGCCCGGAGGCCAGGAGACTTGACGGGAGTGGCGAGCTTCATCAGCGACCACATGGCATCTGCGTTTGGGGGAGACGAGGGCAAGGTTGTGATCAAAGGCAGAGAGGTGTGAAGGTGTTCTGTATGTACGGGCGTGCACAACAGGCGAGTTGAACGTCTCTGTGATGCACAGCAGTGGCCGCTGCCACGGCTTCCTTGTGTGAGGCGCTGGTGCTGGGTTGGGGCGTGGATCAGTACAGTAGCCTTCGCAAGAAATTAAGCTTGGTTTTTAGTTTTTAGTAGGGCGTATAGGGTGGGGTTGGAGGCCAGGGTTACGGATCGGGACACGAAACCCCCCTCTCTCATGTATTTCTGTATCATAAGAGTCTAAAATCCTTGCGAAGAAGGCGGTCCGGTGGATGGCGCGTCGCATGTGGGCATGGGGCCGGTCGACCGTCGCCAAACCGCCGCGCCAGCGTTCGACCGGTCTCTCGCCCGTCCACCGCGCTTGCTTGTCCTAACCCAACACAAGGTTGTACTTAGACTACTACACCATGGCGTGGAGTCGTGGTTGTGGCCGCGTGGAACCCATCTACATGTTGTACGGCAGTAGAGTTGAGGGCCACCATCAAATTGAAAATTTGACTTGAGTGATAAAAATGGTGGTAGGCTAAATTGCTCAAACACTTTCACGATATAAATAAGAATCGACTAGAGTAAGAAACACGTCTCAGCCTTGGATCCTACATTACACTCTACATAATCACACATGCCCACGCTCGGCGGTGGTGACAAAGAAGAAATTGAGCCTGTCGTAGACCTCAAATCCACGTTTCTTTCTCTCGAGCCGTACCTTTGAAGTACATACTGCTATATAGAGACTGGATGGAGCGGTAAACTTGTGTCGTGGGACCGCCTTCACTCTAACCCATTGTGTGCTTTTGCAACATGTTTACACAATGGTATGTACGAACAACCCTTTTACATAATGGTATGTACGAACAACCCTGCGAAGACTACTGGTATACATGTGTATATCATGCTTACATTACAGAGTGAGGAGGAAGGTTGTACATGAAATACGTCGAACAGCAGTGTGTGTCTGTCTGCTGTACGCATATAAGCGTCGACCGCGCTAACCGTGTGTGCGTATGTTATGCTAAGCAGCGACTGCTCTCTTGTTAGATGTCTCTCGCTCTCCCCCTCTCCCATACACTCTACTCTTTCCGTGCGTCAACTATCTGTCAACTGCTGTGTAGTGCGGGCTCGCGCGTGTGCATCGATCGTTCAAAAAATAAACTGCGTTTTTGCGCGAAACTACAGCAGTACAATACACGCAGCAGTCGAATGTCGATTGTGAGTGTACTTGTTAGGAGCGATGTGTGCTTGGCAGAACCGTATAATTCAAAGTTCAAGGGCAATTTCGAAAAAAAAAAAACGCAGAAGGAGAGCCGAAAGAAACGAATGCCGGATGCCACATCCATGATGTGTGACAGCTCGTCGTGTGTTGAAGGCAAGGCGTAGTAGCATTCGGCCCCTCTCAATCTTCCTTTTCACGGCAACACGCTCAATGATCGCCATCATCATCCCACGGTATGCGTCCCAAAAGTGGTCGACGAAGGGGCGAGCTCCAGCATCGTGAGAGCGGCGGGCGGGCGGGTGACCAGAAAAAAAACAAACAAAAAGCAAAATGCCGTCCGGTGTACAATGTGTGCAGAAGTTGGGTGAAGTAGATTCGCTCCGACGTAGGGAGAGGGCCTGACCAATCAGACCAGCAATTACTATCACGCGCAGCATCGATGCATACCCACGCACGCACCTTCTTCCTTCCCGGAGGAAGGTTTTCGGGTGGGCGTCCCCGGGTTCTCCATCCCTCCACGGCAAGAGAACACAGCAGCAGCAGCAGCAGCAGAGGAGCAACGAGAGACGAGACCAGAGTCTTCTTGACCTCCCTCTTCCTCTGGCATTGCCCGCTGCGACGTGAGGCACGCGGCACGGGGCAAGGCATGTCAGAGAAGAACAGCAACAGAGCCTCGATTTCTCATCGCCGTCTGCTGAGCTGCTCAGCAACAGGCAGGCAGGCAGGCAGGTTGTCGGTGACTCCCTACCTAACGGTGCGCAAACTACTACAACGAAAAAAAAAAAAACACTAGCGCCGTGTATGCATATATGGCGCGAAAAAGGCGTCGGGGGAAGAAATCCAGCTATTGCACAGGGGTAAGCGAAGCTACCCTATGAACGGGCAGTGGGCCTCGCGCGAGGACGGATCCGCTCGCCGCTGCTCGCGTTTGGACAAGTTCCGCGTCCGTATATCTGCTGGATGAAAGCACACACACCCTACCTCTTCGAATATGTTGTTGTTTCAGCAGACAGAAGAAGAGGTATATATAGGCCTCTCGCGCGCGCACACGCACGTTTTCGACTGCGTGCCTTGGATCCCAAGGGCGCCGCTGACCCCGGCTCGCGACGTTCTCACAGCGCGGCTTGGACCCCAGAGGCGATGCTGCCTCTGACGCGCGATCTCGAGATCGGCCCAGGCCCTGCTGCTGCAACGCCGTGGTCGATGTGTGTCCACACCTATTAGCTACGTGGTTCCTCAAAAATTTGAAACCTCAAAAAAACGAAAAAACGCGCGCTCGCCATTTTTTTTTTTCGAAAAAAAAGAAACAGGCAGGTCATAATTTACGAAACAAAAATGCGTGCGTGCCCACACTTGCGATACCGGGCGACCACACACACACCATTACGCACGACGCACTTGAGGTCGTTCCTGCCCCTACATGCGGTGTGCGCGCTTAATCACTCAAGGAAGCCTGCCCCTTCAATGCTACAATAGTGGCAACATAAATTGGTCAGGGCGGTGCCTCCATGCTATTATTGTTTTCTGGTCGTTTTCTCGGTTGTTCGGGGCCGTCGGCTGTTTACAGGTCTGTGTTGTTGGAGGTCGGGCTACGTTGGTGCCGCTGCTGAAAGCCCGGGAATTGTTCCCGCGGGCGTATCTCGCCACAGAACACCGCAAACACTGCTGCTGTACATTGAATTCTAGGTCTCACTTCGGCTTTGAAATGCATCACAGAGCTACTACCCCAGGGATGGATGCAAGCCCGCGGTAATCATACCTTGTACCACATTATTTCAGCAGGCTGGACGTAATTCTTTCTGTACAGCCGTACAATGTAGCCAGCGATCACTTCGTGGCGTATGAATGAGGACAACGAATTTTCGAGGTTACCACAAACACGTGCATGTGGAGTGTTGCCATTCATGCAGAAAGCATCACACAACATCTCTGTCCCTTACCGCCACAGCAATGAATAATCCATCTTTCGATCTTCCTCGCAAAATGGTTCGTTATTTTGGTCTTCCCGAGCGGGACAGCCTCTTTGCTCTCTTCACACCTTTACGGCACTGCCTCACACAAATAAGATCGCATGTAAGACGACCAAAGCGCCCCCTGGGTCAAACGCAAACAACAGCTTTCGTGATCAGCCTTAGGTACAAATATTGCACCCACGTTATAACGCAGAATACCAAGCAAGCCCAATAAAAACAATGGAACCAACTCTCAACCATCACCACACACACTAGCGTTATTCGGCGCCACAGCTGTAGGGCACTCCCTGGATCTCTGCCTACTCCTCTTGAGGCCAAAAGTCCGAGAAATATCAACCTGTTACCTGTTCTACCAACGCTCCCCTCAACCAAGCAAAGCCCACGAGACTGCCGCATCCTATCTGGGTCTTCGCCGTGAAATCGGGGGCCGCAAAAAAGAAACGTCAAATATTGTTTGTGTCGAGAGGTTCAAATGTCTACTGTCCCGTGCTTAGGCCACAACAACTTCGAAGTACATACAGGTGCCAGAATGTAACGCAGGATCCACCGCTGAAGCGATGGTCGATATCCAAACCCTCTTCAACAGTTGTCGGGTCGAGCAATCAATCAACCATGCTACTGGCAGGAGATGCAACGTTAAAGAACCTCCCCCGTCCCGCCTACCAGCAGGGGACGGCGGGAACGCACGTCCTACACGGCGACTGGTTGAACGTTTACGAAGGACAGCTGGACAAGGGGAATCGCACCGCTATCGGCATCGAAATGTCGTCACCACTCCCTCCCTCCCCTTCTCCCATGACAAGGGAAAACCGGACGTCCAACACCGGCAACGCCGCCGCCGCCTTAACCGCCGCCGCTACTCTATCGGCGCACGCCTTGTCGAACGGGACCCTTACCCACGCCACATCCCCCTGCTGGTGCAGCAAGAAGGGCGTGGCGCCAGCGCGACCACTCCGTTCGGCTCCCGGGGGGCTTCCCGTGTCCCCGCCGCCGCCGTCGTCAGCACGCGACAGGAGGCCTCGGGGCAAGCGATATCTGTCGCCCGGCTGGCGGATGATCTCGTCCTCCCTCCCTTCCAGGTGCACCCAGTCACCCTCCCCCCAGCCCGCCGGCCGCACGGTCACGAACCCGGGGTTCCCGCCACCAGCAGCAAGAGCGGTGGCGGCAGCAGCGGTCACGCCGGTCGCCCGTGACCCCGACGAAGCAGAGGCAGCGACACGGCCTTCTTTTCTACCCCCGTCTCCCCCTCCGCCAGCGCTCTGCTCCGCCCCCGGCGGCGACGTCTCAGCGACACCGACCGCAGCTGCGGCGGCGGTGGCGGCGGCTGCGGTGTTTCCGGCCGGGTCGCTCTCGGCCGACGAGGGACCGTTCTCCGTCGCCACGCGGAGCCGAAGCAGGGTGATCTGAGGGTTCGCGAGCCGCAGGACTAGCGAAGGCTGCTGCTGCTGCTGCGGTTGGTGCCCCCCGACCTCTTCGCTTCCTTTACCACCGCGGTCGTCTTCTTCTCGTCCACCCTGTTGCCGCGGCGCCGCTGTTTTGCTTGCCGCCGCCGCCGCCGCCGCCGCCGCCGTCGGGCCCAGCAACGCCAGGGAGGAGGGCAGAGACGCCACCGTGATCCTTGGTACCGACAGCGCGGCCGAGCAATCCTTCTTGAACCAGGTTTTCTTGACGCCCTCCTGCCGGTTCGTTCGTCGTGCGTTTTCGTGGGCGATTGTAAGGGCAGATTTTGAGGAGAGGGCGGGGGGAGGGGGGGGGGGCAAGCAGAGACCTGGGCGAGGAGGCCACGTGAATTCGTAGAATTTGTTGCAGAGAAAAAACACTGAAAAAAAGCGCTCTCACACCTCATGTCTGTTGTGTGTTTGTATCGCTGCTCGAAAAATAAAATTACGCCCCTCTGTCATTCCCGGTACATCTCCACGCGGCAGCAAAAGCACCACATCGAACTAGGTTGACAGCTTAGGGTGTGCCGACACCGTTTAGGTATATACGCAAGCGGCATATATAGCAGTTTCCAAAACGGAGGCCGCTTCAAGGGGGACGAGTAGAATGACCACCCCCGCTTTTCTTCTATCGGCCCCAGTTTGTTATTCAATACGCTGGGCTGCGGGCGGCGTGATTGCACCGGGCCCCTCAAGAGACCAAGACCCCCACAGGCGTTAACACGTCGGTCCTCTTTCCGTCCGAGCGCGCGCCAAGGAGGACAAACACACGCTCTTGTTCCGAAAAAAACAACACGGAAAAGAAAAGTCTGCACACCACGCTACGAGTTAAGAACCAAAGCAATACTGAAATGGTAGAATAGTTAAGTGTGAAGCGTGGGTACACTGCGCACACCCCGTGATGACTAAACACCCCCCACTGTTCTCTCTGCTTCTTCCCCCCTTGCCTTTGCGGTGCTGGAGTCCCCGTCCAGAGGGTTAAACGTGGCCTTGATCAAGATCCCCGTCCTACCCGCCGCCAGGTCCTTCCTGCACCGCTTGCCCACCCGCGCCCTCAATCGCACGCGCCTGGGAACGCCACCGCCGCCGCCCCGCGCCCCCCCGCCTACCGCCGGTTCCGAGCCGCCGGCGCCGCCCTCTTCTCGTGCTCCGCGAGCAGGCGGCGACTGCCGTGGCGGCGACGACCACGGCCCTTCCACCCTCTCCGCCAACCCGGCGGTCTCGTGCCCGCTGGAGAGGGTCCACAGGGCCGGGTCTGGGCCGGTGGTGTCCTCCCGTAGGGCCCACGGAGGTGAGACGGCGGCGGCGGCGGCGGTGGCGGCGGGTGGCCGGGGAAGGGCGACGGAGCGAGACGCCGCCACCACGACTTGGGCCCTCCGCGCGACAGCTTCGTCAAGGTCGGACACCTTTTTTTTGGGGGGGGCAGGGGTGAACAAGAAGAAGAAGGCGGGCAGTTGGAGGCATGTCCCAAAAGCAAGAAGGGTACGAACTACGTGAATAGCAAATCCGGCGAAGGCGGCGCGCGTGATGTGGGACGAAATGCCTGCTGGCTGGGGGAACAACGCCAGGGGATGGGGGTTGTGAGGGAAGTGAAACGGGCCACCAGTGTCTGCTACATAAAACGTACGGTGCACCGAAATTGCAAACCAATACCGTACGCAGGTTATGATCAGCTTCTTTGGTTCTCATTTACATTGTACGAGAGACAGATAACGCGGTTCTTCGCGCTACAATACAAGTCCGTGATGGTTTGTGCTGCGACCTGGAACTTAAGGCACCGGAAGACATGCACCGGCGCTGGCTTTCGGTCCACTCGCCGCCCAGCAGCGGACTGCAGGTACACAGCTCATGTTTACGATTTTTCGACGTTCACTTAACCGGCGGGAGAAACACTTGTTCCCCCTTATCATACATGCCTTCCAGGGCCCGGTCGTACTCGCCGCCGCAGAGAACAGCGACGAATCCACTTCGCGGCCGCGGCCGCCACCGCTGTTCGTGCTCCCGGCGCGAAGCCTGGCACCCCGACCCCGATCCCGGCCCCGGCCCCGGCCCCCGCCCCCGCCCCCTCCACCCGCCGCCGACCCCGCTCGCTGGGCGGCCTCCGCTTCCCTTTGCTGGGCCGCCTCGAGCAGAGCGCCGACGACCATCGCCGTGCTGCTCCTGTTGCTACCGCCACCCTTCTTCTCTCGAGCGGCCGCGGCGGCGCCAAGGCCCGCTGGGTCCGGTGCGACGAGGCCCGAGTCCTCGCTGGTCCACTGGCAGTAGAGGCACCGCAAGCAGTACGACGGGCCAGCAGAGGAGAAGGAGGAGGAAGAGCGGTCGAGGCTCACCGGCGATGGGACCAGGACGCAGCGACAGCACGGGCACTCGAAGCAATGCGGGCATCTGTGCAAAGGCGAAGGGGGGGGGGGGGGGGGGCCTTTCGGCTGGGGTATTTTGGAGTGGGGAGACCCAAATGTTTTTACCCTGTGTACCAACCCCCCCGCCGGGCTGCCTGTCTCCATTGGGATCTAAATACCAAGGGTTGGTTGGGTCCCAAAAAGCTGAAAACCCCCCCCTGGTGTAATTTTCCCGGTGTACCTTCCAAAAAATCTTCCCCGCCGGATTTGGGGGGGTGGGCCCCCCTTCCCACTTGATCCCCAAAACGCTGGGTCCCCCCTCCGA